TATACCCTACACAGCTATTTTGTTAGGGTATTATAGCTTTGTGCAGCCCCAAGAGTTTTTAAGGCCGCGAAATATTGGTCTTAGACCCACCTTTAAGTATACCGATCGTCATACCTCGACTAGCTGAGTCGATGTAGACATGAGTATACGTCCGTCTATCTGTCCCCTTTAATTTGTAAACACCATACAGGCCACAGTTATGGACCAATCTTCACGAAATTTTGCATTTAGGATGGGTTCAGGCCAAAAAAAGACCCCTATTGTTTTTGGTAAAGATCAGTTAATATTTAGGGGATGAAATGGACCAACAACTTTCTTTTTGTCTGATTTTCTGGTCGCTCCAGAGGCCACAATTATGACCCAAACATGGAGAAGGGTATCGGGCCAAAGAATAAGCATGCCTCTTTTGATAGAGATCGGTCAATTTTTAGCGGGTCAAATGGACCCTGATTTTTGTGTGAAAAATTACCAAATTTGTATTCTATTGCTTATATATTTACCCCTGAAGGATATAGACCCAATAATTTGATAGTATATCCAAGAAGAGTGGTTGACCTTTAAATTGATACCAATTATATTGTCGTACGTACTCAGATGTGGGAGTTAATCTTAAATATTTACAGATGCTTACGTACTAAGATTTTATTTAGTAACCCATTACCACACTAGAGGGCGGATATTTAGCGCTGACCGCTTTGAAATTTTCCATGAGATTTCAGTTATGGTCAAAGTGGACCGAAAACTTATTTTTTTCGAGTCGATCTATTGGCCACAATTTGAAGCCGAACATCACAACACAATTCACGGTGAAGGCAATCTTTACAAGTAATTAGAAGGGCTGTACTGAATTTAAGTAATATTCGGAATATATGCCAGTGTAAAGAATAGCTGCTGTTGACTTGTAATCGGACCAGAGTGTGCAAATATCACAAATTATTGGCAAGGCTTGGAATAAGCTTCCGCAAAAAGTTTGAGTTCAGTGGCAGTGGTGTAGGGTATCGTATGGTCGTCCCCGTCCGACTATACTGCTCCGCTTACTGGTTTTACAATGGAAAAATTCGAAATTCGTGCTGTCATTAAATATTTACATAAAAAAGGTTTATCGGGACGAGAAATTCACAAGGACATGGTGAATGTGTTAGGTGAAGGTGCTCCTTCATATGCAACAGTAAAAAATTGGATTGCTAAATTTAAATGTGGACGTCCAAAAACAGCAACGACAACATAAATTTTAGCCAAAGTGCATGATATGCTATTAAATGATCGACGAATAAAAGTGCGTGAAAATGCTAATATCATGGGCATCTCAAATGATCGAGTCCATTTAATTTTGCATGAAGACCTTCAGGGAAAAAGGCTTTCTGCAAGATGGGTGCCGTGAACATTTCTCAAGCTTGTTTGGATAGTTTTATGCCAAATATAATTGATTTTAAGCGTCGTTTCGTAAGCGACGTTTCTCTCCAGAGACAAAATAACAATCCCAACAATGGGCTGAAGCTGGAGGAAGTGCCTCAAAGAAGGCAAAAACAATTCAATCGGCTGGTAGGTCATGCCAACGGTTTTTTGGGGCTTCATAGGTATTTTATTGATTGACTATCTGCAAAAAGGTCAATTAAATGCACAAATTCGAGAAAAATGTCCTGGCTTACAACGAGCGCGAACGCACCAGCGAACAAGAGTGTTTTAACAAATCAACGAATTAAGGGGACCCCCATTCTCGGGGTCAAAAAATTTGTCCCTACAAAATTTCAAGTGAAAATCTCAAGAACTCTTGAAGATATAGCCGGTTTATTCTGTCAGCAGCAAGTGACGGCTGATGGGCTTTTCAAACTTTAAACGCGTTTTTCTCTAAACGAATGGCGGGCACGATAACTCAAAAACTAATAATCCAATCGGTTCCAAATTTTGAAACGTTTCTCTGGGAGGTTCCCTTAAAGTACGAGTTGCTTGACCACCCACCGTATTCTCCTGATTCAACTCCCAGTGACTTTTACTTGTTCCTAAATCTAAAACAAATCTTTGCTGGCAAGCATTTTACCTCAAATGAAGATGCAATTACAGTTCTGAACCAATATTTTGAATTGCTAGAAAAGCGTTGGACTAAGTGAATTGAAGTTTCAGGAGATAATAATGCAAAATTAAAATATTTTTGAAAACCCATCTATTCTCTTTCATGGATAGGCTAATAAGTTTCCAAACCGTCCTCGTAGAGATAATTCGGTTGATACCCGTGTCTAAAATAATTTTATTTGAGAGCTACCCCAAATCATAAATTCTCAAAAAATCAAAATTTGGGAGTTTCCGATAAATGGGAGCTGATGACGGTGCATATAAAACATAGTTTTGTCATTGAAAAATAACCATAATTTCCATTACAAAATTCCATTTTTATACCCTACACAACAATGTTGTCAGGGTATTATAGCTTTGTGCAGCCCCAGATTGTAACGCCGCGAGATATTGGTCCTAGACCCACCTTTAAGTATACCGATCGTCATATCTCGACTAGCTGTGTCGATCTAGATATTCGTGTCCGTCCGTCCGTCTGTCCATTATAATTTGTAAACACCATACAGGCCACAGTTATAGACCAATCTTCACGAAATATTGCATGTAGGATGGGTTCTGACCAAAGAAGACCCCTATTGTTTTTGGTAAAGATCGCTTAATATTTAGGGGATGAAATGGACCAAAAACTTTATTTTTGTCTGATTTTCTGGTCGCTCCAGAGGCCACAATTATGGCCCAAACCTTGATAATTTTTACATGGAGAAGGGTATTGGGCCAAAGAATAAGCATGCCTGTTTTGATAGAGATCGTTCAATTTTTAGCGGGTCAAATGGACCCTGACATCTGTGTGAAAAATTACCAAATTTGTATTCTATTGCTTATATATTTACCCCTGAAGGATATAGACCCAATAATTTGATAGTATATCCCAGAAGAGTGGTTGACCTTTAAATTGATACCAATTATATTGTCGCACGTACTCAGATGTGGGAGTTAGCCTTAAATATTTACAGGTGCTTACGTACTGAGATTTTATTTAGTAACCCATTAACCCGGAAATAAAACGCTGACCGCTTTGAAATTTTCCACGAGATTTAAGTTATGGTCAAGGACAACGCCTATAATTTTCGGTGATGATTAGATAATAATTTTGGGATAAAGTGGACCGAAAACCTAAGATTTTGTGTTTTTTTGTTTTGTTTTTTATACCCTTCACCACACTGTGGTTCAGGGTATTATGCCTTTGTGCATATGTTTGTAACAGGCAAAAATAATCGAGATATACCCATGGTTCCTTTTGAGAATATGCATAGAATCACTTTCTGAGTCGATTTATGCATGTCCGTCCGTCCGCATGTCCGTCTGTCCATGTTAAATTGTAAACAAAGTACAGGTCGCATTTAAGATCCGAATTGAATGAAATTTGGCATAGCTCATTTGTTTGGCCCAAGGACGAACCCTATTGAAATCGGGAAAAATCGGTTCAGATTTAGATATAGCTCCCATATTAATTTGCGTCCGATTTAAGGTAAATGGTGTACCAAAGTCCCTATCTATCATTCGATTTGCACGAAGTTTGTCATAGCGTATTGAATTAAGGCTAGAATGATGTGTGCTAAGTTTCGTGAAAATCGTTTCAGATTTAGATATAGTTCCCATATATATTTTCGTCGGATTTTATTTAATTGGTGCATTTTACTACTTTCCTTACTGTTTTTTTTTTTTTTTTTGAGTCGATCTATAGGCCACAATTGAAAGCCCAACATCACAATAACACAAGAGAATCTGGACAAGTACAGCCCTCGTCTACTGAATATTAGTAATATTTGTTGACCTTTAGTCAGGTTTCAAGAGGGTGCAAATAACGCAAAGTTAGATTTTCGTGGAAGTTGTGTGGGGTATTCTATGGTCGGCCCCGTACGACTATACTGCTCCGCCCACTGATTTTCTTTGCCAAATGTTTTTTCCAATAAACTTATTTCTATTCATGCGAAAAATAAGATAACGTAGATGGGTATAAATGTGAATATTTATGATAATAATTTAGACATATTTTGAAGGTGAAATATATATCCAAATGAAAAGAAAAACGAAAACAAATTCTTGCCACACCACCAAAATATCTTCCGACTTGCAAGAATATTTTCATTTACTTTATTTCTTTTGTGTCCCATCCAAAAACAAAAATGATGATGAATATTTATTAGAATGTAAAAGAAAAAGTGAAAAAAAAAAACAATCGCGAATGAAAAAGTTTGTACAAAAAGTTTTCAAACTACTGCCAAAATATAAAGTGAAATGTTGTTTATTTTCCCTACGAAGAACAAAAACGTATAGTATATTTTGTTTTTTTCTTGTTTTGACTTCCTGTCATTGATAATAATAAGTATTGCGTGGTCTTGTTATTGTTTTTCACTGAGCTCATATTTTTATTTTGGCAAATTGATATTAATTTCACTCTTGAGCTACATTAAAAGTCATTTAGATTTTGGTTTTCTTTATTGTTGTTTTCCATTCAATTATTGTCATTTTATTTTTTGCTGAGTTGTGCGACTGGTACATAAAGAGGCGATGACAAGATACCTTTTTTACAAAAGTGTGTTACTGTATACCAGCAGCGAATGGGTGGCTGTGAACTGAGGGTGGTGGTTTGGTTAAAGGCCAAAAAGCCCTCGAATCCATAAAAGCCTATGTTACCACAACAACAAAACCGGTTGACCCAATGTGTGCCGACCGAAAAAATGGTGGTAATGTGTGTATACATGGCTACGGGATTATAACAAAAAATCGCAAATTATTTACAATGCTTGGAAATTAGCAATGACCCTGAATGTGTGCAGTTTATAATTGGCAAAATCAATCACAATTAAATTAATGGTATCAACGTAAGATAATGCGGTGCCACCAAAATAAAAGAATGATATAAATACTCCCACAGTAGGTACAATCATTATCACTTAACTGTTAACCTACCACATTACAACAAACAAACAAAATCAAAAATGGCATTCAAATTTGTAGCATTCTTTGCCCTCTTGGCTGTGGCTAATGCTGGTTATGTTGCTCCAGTTACTACATATGCTGCTGCTCCTGTTCTCACCAAAGTGGTTAATCCTTCAGTGGATGCTGTTGCCTCTACCCAACAAAATGTTGTTCGTTCTTTCGCCGGCACCGTCTCGCATTATTCCAAATCGGTGAATACTCCCTATTCCAGTGTCAACAAAGTGGATACACGCATCAATAATAATGTCTACACTCCTGCTGTTGCCAAAACCGTTTCTTATGCTGCTCCAGCTGTCCACAACTATGCCGCTGCTGCTCCTGCTGTTCACACCTATGCCGCTGCTGCTCCTGCTGTTCACACATATGCAGCTGCTGCTCCTGCTTTCCACACCTACGCCGCTGCCCCTGCTGTCTATGCTCATGGTGTTCCAGCTGCTGCTCCAGTTGTTAAACATGCCATCACCTATTCTCCAGCTGAAACTGTAGCCCATGTTAACTTTGATGCTTTCGGTGCTCATTGGGGATATTAGAAAAAATATTTGTGAATTTGTTTTTTTTTATAATCGAATTGTTGAAAATATATATTTTGCTGTTGATTCCTTGAATATTCATATTTTTTCCCGAAAATTGGGTGAAATATTAAAATTTAAAAAAATAAAAATGGGGTTCCATCATATTAAATTTTGAATGAAAAAATCTTCGAATTAGAAGAAGTCTACGAAGAAGTCTATGACAAATATTTTTTGTCTGTTTTTCATGTCACTTTAGAAGCTAACATTATGACCTGAGCACAATGAAAATTTTCACGGTGAAAGGAGACCATAGAAAAAGCATGCTTCTTTTCATGATCATCGTTCAATATTTAGCTGTTCAAATGGACCCAGAATTTTGTGTGGGAAATAGTAAAATTTGGAGGACGTTTTATTTATTTTGAATTTTTTGATTTAAATATTCAGGAATATAGAACAGCAGAAAGTAATACTCGTGATAGTTGTGTAGGATATCATATGGTCGGCTCCGTCCGACTAAACTGGTCCGCTCAATGTTTTTTTTTAATTTTGTTATCAGTATCAGATAGAATGTTCCAATACGATCTGAACAGTTTTACGGCATATATGTTTGAGCCTTGGACATTAATTTCCTATAAATTGTATACACTTTACCAAAACTCACACTTTACAAGACGCTGATACTACCCGTGCTGTTATATGGATCTAAAGCATGGGTACTTGCGCAAGCAGATGAGGCAGCTCTTGGGGTGTTTGAAAGAAAAATTCTCCGAAAGATCTACGGGCCGATATGCGTCGACGGTGAATATCGGCGTCGAATGAACCACGAGCTTTACAATTTATACGGGGACATCGACATAGTCAGTCGTATTGAGCTGCAGCGACTACGGTGGCTAGGCCATGTTGTGCGAATGAATGAGAATGCCCAACTCAAAAGCCATATAAAAGGGGGGAAGGCCACTAATTATATGGAAAGACCAAATGGAAAACAACATCTGGGGAACGTGTTCTTTAAAATTGGAAGAAATATGCACAAGACCGACGCGCTTGGATTTTTTTTTTAAGATCGGCTTATGGACAACCTTTTGTAACAACCAACAGAAAGCTTTGACAATTATTAAAAAAAATATCCCCGAAGACATACAAATGCATTACAAATTTACTATTTGAGAACTCAGTGAAGGATTTAAAAATTCTTTAGAAAATCAAAGACTTGTGGCCTTCTGGAAGACTTTATAATTTATCTACATGAAGTCTTTATTTTTTTTAATCCATGTCTTGCGACCTCGATGAATGCATTAAATATTTCTTTTAAAGAAATGCACGCCTAGCGGCTCCGACGAATGTTTTACATATTTCTTTTAAATAAATGCACGCCTAGCGACATCGATGAATACTTTAAAATATATTTTTGTTGAGAATTCGTTGAATGCTTTAAGTATTTAAAAAGCACACGCCCTGAGATCTCGAAATAAATAGTTTTTTAATCCACGTCTTGAGATCTCGAATAAGGCTTCAAAAATTATTCAAAAGATCCACGCCTTAAGACCTCGAATAAGGCTTTAAAAATGTATTAAAAAAATCCAGGTTTAATACCTCGAATAAGACTTTAAATAATTTTTAAAAAAATTCTCGTCTTGAAACCTTAAATAAGGCTTTAAATAATTTTTAAAAAATTATCGCCTTGAGACCTCGAATAAGATATTAAATATTTTTTCTAATCATCCACGTCTTGAGACCTCGAAGAAGACATTAAATAATTTTTCAACCATCCACGCTATCCGAGGTCTTCGAATAATGGTTTTATATTTTTCTTTTAAATATACACCTTAACACATCGAGACCTACAAGAAAGATTTGCAAATTTTATATTGTTTAATGCCTTGACAAAGGCATTAAACCAAATATTCACGCCTACACAACTACCACGGAAATATAACATATAAACTGACATATTTTCCGAATATTACTAATATTCAGTACAGTCCTTCTAATTACTTGTCTATATTCTCTTCAACCTGAGTTGTGTTGCAATGTTCGAAGAAATCCAAAAAAAGTTTAGTTTTCGGTCCACTTCATCCCAAAATTATTATCTGGTCGTCACTGAGAATTATAGGCGTTGTCCTTGGCCATAACTGGAACCTCATGGAATATTTCAAAGCGATGAGCGCTATATATCCGCCCTCTAGTGTGATAATGGTTTACTAAATAATATCTGAATATGTAAGCACCTGTAAATATTTACATGTAACTCCCACATCCGAGTACATACGACAATATAATTGGTATCAATTTAAAGGCCAACCGCTCCTCTTGGATATACTATCAACTTCTAGGCTCTATGTCCTTCAGGAGTAAATATATACGCCATACAATACAATTTTTTTTAATTTTTCACACAAAAGTCAGGGTCCATTTGACCCTTTAAATATTGACCGATCTTTATCAAAACAGGCATGCTTATTCTTTGACCAAACCCCTTCTCCATGTAAAAATTCGAGATGTTTGGGTAATAATTGCGGCCTCTGCAGCGACCAGAACAACCGTCAAAAATCCAGTATTTGGTCCATTTCATCCCCTAAATATTAACCGATCTTTACCAAAAACAATAGGGGACTTAATTGGGCCGAACCCATCCTACATGCAAAATTTCGTGAAGATTGGTCCATATCTGTGGCCTGTATCGTGTTTACAAATTATAATGGACAGACGGACGGACACTCATGTCTAGATTGACTCAGCTAGTCGATATATGACGATCGGTATACTTAAAGGTGGGTCTAGGACCAATATTTCGCGGTGTTACAAACTCTAGGGGCTGCACAAAGCTATAATACCCTGACAACATAGTTATGTAGGATAAAAAACATGTTTTGGCATAGCCTACATATAAGGGATCCGACCGATTTTTGGTATTTTTAATGTACACCTTACGATGTAGGATATAACAAGTTCGATCCGAACTAACCTATTACTGTTTTTACTTGGTAATTAATCAATTTTGAAACATTTATATGCTCCATTGAACATTTCCGATGTGTACTAGATATTATAAAAACTGCCTGCCGTCACTTTGTTGTGTTACTTGGTGATTTTTAAAGTTTTCGTTCTTATCCAATTTATCAGGTAATTTTTTATTCTGCATTCAAGTAGCTCTCTTCCATGTCAGGCATTTCCATTACTTTAAGATAAATTGATACACCTCTTGACATAAGACATAAAATTAGCCTTGTTTGCAATGCTTGTAAATTTGATTGAAGTTTATCGTTTAACAACAAAACCAATTTTTTACTGCCTTTCACTTTATTACAGTTTTCTGCGTTGGAGGCTGGTCGCATATACGCGTAAGAGCCAGCACACATATTCTTTGTAAGAAGGGGGGATGTGAGAGGTCATAAATCAAACGTGGAGAAATAAAAAAAATAAAGTAATAGAAAAAAACAAAATCATTAATGCGGGGAATCACTTACCATGAAACATAATTTTATACCATTTTTGAGCTAAACAGACTATACCACCCTCGTATTTTTGGTTTTCACATTGTACGCATTTTATTTCACATGAGCTTTCTTGTAGTTCGCCTAAAATCAATGCTAGTCATCGAATGGATAAATGATTGTAAGTCGAATATGTGTGTGTGTGCTTTTCAAATCCATAGAGACAACATCCCAATATAAGCTGCTGGGAGTTGCCTTTGGAGTATCATATCCGCAGACAATAGAATTCAGAGTTTCCGGTTAGATGAGTTTTTAATAGAACACGGACAATTTAGGAATTTTCGATGTTGTTTTGCCCATTTGCCCTCTTCAGTTTATTTTTTACATCTACCACTTAACAGATTGATGAAGTGTAATGGTTATGACGGGGATGATAAACTATGAAAGAAAAAATGAAATAAAAAATCATAAATGAATGAAAGACTAAATCAAAATCATTGATATGGAATAAAAAAAAGTAAATTCTCCCAACATTCATCTTTATCTCTACAAACATTTTTTTTATGAAATGAAAAAAAGTAACTAAAATATGCAACAAGCTGTTCGCTACTCCTGATAATTTTTTCGTTGAAATATATTTTTTGTCTTGTTGCAAGTGGAACAGCGGTTTGTGGCTGACTTGCCACAAAACTTTAATTTCCCGTAAAAGCTTGCCAACTATTATAAATTATTCATTATTATGGAAGGTTTTTTTGTTGGCGTTGTTATTCTCCAAGTTTTTTTTTCCGTTTTTGCATTCCCTTTTACAATTACTCCTACAGCGTAGTGTCTTGTTTTCATCTTGCTCCCCTACAACTAACTGACACACCGAGATCCCATTTAAGCGCAATATCATCTGTTAGCCTGGCCACAACACACAAACACATACAAAATATCTCGTGAAAGCTAACCAAACTGGAAAAAAAAGTTGTTACTTGACTGGCAGTGCCTGGAGATTTTTACTCGTTTACACCTAATCTGATTTTCTACTCAAGGATGGTTTACAATACCACAGCCACTGTGGTTTTATACTTTGCTTTTTTATCCTAACCCATTCCCGTGAAGGAGTTTTTTTCTGTTGGAGTGTAAACGAGACATGAGAACAGGACAACACGTAAACGTGAATAGTGGCCGTGGCGGTTTTTTTTCTGTTCTGATGGTGGTAGGATACAGTGAAAGAAAATATAAAAGAAGACAAATATCTATTGGGTTTCAATTCCGAAAAGCAACATGTCTTTAATGAGAAAATCAATGAGTATTTTATGAAAGCTATATTGGCTCCCATTGATGTTCTATTATAAGATCTAATGATCTTCTAAATGTGTAACTACATAGAAAAAATAATTCGTATATTATATATAGTGTTCAGAGAGTGTAACCTATGTCAGAATCTTTGCATTTTATGAAAATTTTAAATACAGGTTACTGGTTAGAAAGAGAGAGTGATTTTTTCTATTTTCATTTTATGTTTTCCTCTTCTTATTACGTCTTCACCATATTAAACATTTGTTTGAAATATTTCATATATAATACACATCTAAATCA